TGGAGTAGCTATTTTGTTCCATAAAAGATGTCAGTTTAAGGTCTTAAATTCCATTCAGGATAAAGAAGGAAGCTATATCTTAGTGTCTGGAATAATGGGCACCCGTAAGCTTCATTTAATGAATATATATGCCCCAAATATCCCAGATAATAGATTTTGGGATACGATAGGCCAAATTATTGATTCCATAGCGTTTGATTGTGTCTTGATAGGTGGGGACTGTAACGCGGTTTCTTGTCCAGCAATAGATAGAAGTCATAAGCCGGGAACATTGCGATCCCAGGGAAGGGGAGGACAAGATAAACAGTTTTTTCAGTTTATGATAACTCATAAACTTATTGATATATGGAGGGCTCAACATCCTGACACACTTGATTATACCTTTTATTCGCATCCACATGATACGTATTCTAGAATAGATATGTTTTTGACCAATTTAACACTTTCTCCCTATTTATATAGCTCACAAATTAACAATATTACGTGGTCAGATCATGCAGATATCATTGTACATATAAAAGGATTATCAGTTAAACCCAATTTTTCTTGGCGATTAAATACTTCTCTCTTGGAAGATCCCATAGTGAGATCAGATATTACAAAGGCATTGTTAAATTATTTTTCAGAAAATAATACGACTGAAATTAGCAAAACCACTTTATGGGCAGCACATAAAACTGTAATTAGGGGAGAATTGATCAAAATAGCCTCATATAAGAAAAAGATTAAATCACAATCATTATTTGAGTTACAGAAAGGTTTACGTAAGCTGGAACAAAAACATAAAACAGTTCCCACTGAACAAACGCTATATGATTTAAAAGCATGTAGATTAAAGATTAAAAAGCTTTTGTTAGATGAAGCAGTATGGCAGTTAAAAAAATCACGTAGATATTTTTATGAGAAAGCTAATAAAATAGACGCCCCTTTGGCCAGATGCTTAAAACCACGAACACATTTTAATCCTATCTCATCCATTAGAAACGCTTCAGGGTCATTAGTATCATCACCAGAGGATGTTTATGGAGTATTTCGGGAATATTTTTCTAGATTATATAGTCAATTTAAAAACGAGAATATAGAAGGTACAGATCAGGAGATAAGACTGAGAGAATTTTTGAATAAGATAAATTTACCCCAAATCCCTAAAAATGCCTTAGAAGGATTAGGGACCAAAATATCTTTAGAGGAAATTAAAGCGGCATGCTTTTCTATTAAGGGGGGTAAAGCACCAGGGCCAGATGGCTTTAGTAGTAGTTATTATAAAATATTTCAACACACTCTTATGCCATATTTACAAGAGGTCATAGATGAAATTTGTCAAAGCGGAGTTCTTCCAGCCGACCTTACAATGGCTAAAATTGTTCTTTTACCAAAAAAAGATAAGGACCCTTCTTCAGTGGGAAATTATAGGCCTATATCATTAATAAATGTTGATATAAAAATAATAGCTAAAGTCCTTGCCCTGAGATTCTCTCCCCTACTTCCTTTTCTGATTCATCCAGATCAGGTAGGTTTCGTTCCAGGTAGACAGCTGTATGAGAATACACGTAGAGCTGTTAATGTTGCTTGGGTTATGGCAGTAGGGAAGACACCATCAATACTTTTATCATTAGATGCAGAAAAGGCATTTGAAATGGTTGCCTGGCCTTATCTATTTTATTTGCTTCAATATTGGGGCTTTCCAGTCAATTGCATTACTATAATCCGTGCATTATATTCAAATCCCCAAGCAACAATACAGCTCCCTGGCTCAGTTAATACTCCGTTTGGAATATACAATGGCACACGTCAAGGATGCCCTCTCTCTCCTATTTTGTTTGCACTTATATTGGAACCCCTTCTGATCTATATCAGGGGAAGTGGCAATATACAGGGTATTCAAATAGGGAGGGAGATTTATAAAACAGCGGCTTATGCTGATGATATTTTAATCTCTATAGCAAACCCTTCTGAATCTATCCCTGAATTGTTTAAGTTGATAGAACAATTTGGAGCCATTTCAGGCTATAAGGTAAATTATAATAAATCGTGTGGAGTGCCTTTTCATTTATCTGAGATAGAACAAGACCAGCTAAAAACTAAATTTGATATGAGTATAGATAAATCTCTAAGCTATTTGGGTGTTAAAATTGGATACGATTATAATACATTATTTAATGACAACTATGTACCTTTGATTAAGACTTTGAAAAAGGACCTAGAGAATTGGCATGATAAGCCAATTTCATGGATTGGCAGAATTCATTCTATAAAAATGAATATTTTACCGAGGCTTTTATTTCTATTTCAAGCATTGCCTATAAAGGTCTGTAAAGAGGACTTATTGGGTATTCAGAAAGCTATAGACACATTTATTTGGCAGGGCAAGCGACATAGGATAGCTAGAACTCTCTTGTATAGACCGAGAGTTAAAGGGGGACTAGGTCTCCCCAATTTAATTATTTATTATTACGCAGCCCAATTGGCTCAAATTGTTGGTTGGCATGCAAATCAAGGGAAATACAGATGGGCGGATATGGAGGAAGATTTAATGACACCAGACTCGCCAGGGTTGTATATGTGGTTGAATAAGGTTTCAAGACCAGGGTTGAAACAAATATGCCCTTCTACGGCAAACTCCCTCCACATTTGGGATAAACTTAAGTTAAAATATGGTCTAACTAATTTCCCTTCACCCATGACCCCTGTTTTTCGGAATAGACAATTTATTCCTGGTATGGAAGAACACAATTTTCAAGGCTTAAAGGCAGGAGGAATCTATAGATATGTAGATCTTTGGTCAGAAGGAGAGGTAGTTTTATTTTCTAGTTTGTTGACCAGAGTAGAACTGAGGACAGGAGATTTTTTTCGTTATTTGCAGATTAGAGATTTTGCGTATTCAATGGAGGTAAAAACGGCAGTTAAATTCCCCTTCACTAATTTTGAAAAAATGTGCAAAATAGGTAGGTTAAAGGGAGGTCTTATCTCTGATTTGTATAATCAACTAAGTGAGGAACCTACGGTTTGGGCTCCATTAAAGTATATATCCTACTGGGAGGCAGATTTAGGTTCTTCTTTGGAAACTAAGGATTGGATAGATATCTGGGAAACAGCATCCAAAATATCGATTTGTGTAATCTCGCAGGAACAAATGTTTAAGATATTATTTAGGTGGCATGTGACCCTTTTTTTGTACAAAATAGGTAAAAATCTGACGGATCTTTGTTGGAGGGGATGTGGTTTACAAGGGACATATTTACACATGTGGTGGGATTGCCCAAAGATTAAAAGCTATTGGGAGGAAATAAGGGAGCTAATTCAAGTGATAATACAGGGAAATATAGAACTCAATCCTTGGATATTTTTGCTATCGAAATCAATAGCAGGTATACCCTGCCATTCGCAGAAATTAATATTTTTAATTTTATTGGCCGCACGTAGATGTATAGCCGCTAGCTGGATAAATCTGGATTTACCATCAATGAGAGAGGTGGAATTAAAGATTCAAGAAAATTATATAATGGATGAATCATCATCTAGAGTAAGACATTCTTATTATATGTTTGGTAAGGTCTGGGAACCCTGGAAGGTTTATGCGAATAGGAAGGGTATAGGTAGATAGAGAGGCAGAGGGGGGGAGAGTGTATTAAAATTTTTTTTTTTTGTGTGTGTGTTAAAATTTGTATTGATGAATAACTCAAAATGGTGATATTAGAGCTTAAATGCAATCTTTTAGGTAATATTGCTGTTAAATGCATGTTAAGGAGTTCTTTTTTGTTGTTTTTAGTGTTAAATAAAGAAAGAATATTAAAAAAAAAAAAAAGATCCTCCATAGTCCAAGCCAATTCTTTGTAGCCATCACTGGTGATGGCTATCGGGATTGATATTGCAGCTCCGCTGAGAAAGTTAGGCGTAGGATATATACTGAGACAAAAGTAGTCTCCTACTTTGTTTCTGTAGATCTCTTGAATGGGTTGGAATTTATTCAATTCAAACAGTATAAATTCGTATTTCATAAAGATTCTGTCTGCGGAGAGATGACAATACTGCTTTATACAATTTAAAATACTCACAGACTTGCACTGCATCCACCTGGGCAGATTTGTGACTAGGCTAAAGTGGTGGGGCAATTGGGAAGACACCGAGGCCCTGGCCTAATGTTGTTTAAGTTGCCCATAGCAGTGCAGATTGCGGTCATGCCACCCACAAGTAGGCAGTGAGTCTTAAGTTTTCCCTGGGCTCATGCCCAGTCTGTTGCGAATTAAATGTCTCCGTTTGAGGCTTGTTTTGAATAAAATAACAGTGCTTTACCCTGTAACACACTAGGTTTTCATTGATGCATGCACCTGATTTAGAAGTGACTACTTGTCTGCCAGTGCCACCTCTTCACTGGGCTTACGGACAAAAACCTATCACTTTTCTGACTGAGTGAACCCCCTTTCTGCCAGTCTGCCACCGCTTTTCCTTGGCTCACTTCCAAAGCCTTATTGCTGCTGTGTGAAGGTTTCTTGTAAGGGGTTGCTGGGAGTAGGATAGGGGTGCCCTATAAAGAACCATAATTTGTCAGTAACATTGCTGCTAGCTATTTTTCCATTTCACTTATTTTGCTTTTTATGTACTTATATTCTCATGATGACAAAAGATTTTATTAATTGGTGAAATTCTTCAAGGAGTTTTATTTTGGGCAACTCACTTTGTTACTATTGTGCAAGTTTATGGTTAAGCCCGTAAATTAACTTCAGCTTTTTAAGTGCTTAGTTTGTACACAGAATCTCACTCCCATATACACAAAGGTACTCTTGGAAAATACCCCTATCATGTTCTGTGGTGTTCCTGCCCCTTAACACACTGTACCAAGTTCTAAGAGTCATGCCATGAGAAAGAAGCCAGCAGCTTAATTACCAGAATGTCCACTAGCCACTTGGTAACTTGTCTTCTAAATGTGCTGGCAGTTCCTCCCTAAGGAGGTTGTTAGGAGGAAAATGTTAATAAAATGTATTCTCAGAATTATATAGAAAGAGAAGGATAACTTGAGTAACAGATCATTTATTGTCTATCTAGACAGTTTAATGTAAAGTACAGTGAAAACATTGCATTAATAAATAGCAGTAAGAATCAGCTGAGTGGAGTTGGCGTCTTAACAGCTTCCAATTTAATGTACTCATTCTTCTATTTCACCGGGCTGACGGACATCGTCAATTTTCAAAATCATTTTAACCACTTGTGTAGCAAGAGAAATTTGCTGCTTTTTGCCAATCAAGGTTTCAATAACATGCTGCAGCTTCATGTCTAAGACAGGAGGAGAGAAGACAAATAAAAATTTAGGCTAACGGAAATTTTTTTCCTGTTCTGGATTTCTTATGAAAATATAAAAAAGACAAACAAGTACTGGTAATTCATAGAATATTTGGTGAGATTTCACTTGCTTAAAGGGTAACCAAGCTTCCCTACATAACTAATCAGGTGATTTTGATAGAGCTTTAGTTGACCAATAATTGTCAACTCTGTGTTATTCACTTACAGTGCTATTCATTAAAGTGAAAATTCAAAGTACATTTCAATTTTAAGGCCAGAGTAGCTGAACTGAAACCATAGCCATCTTAGAGAACGTTTTAATTTCAGCTACTTTCACTATACATTTGAAATTAAAGGCACACTATAGGCACCAAAACAACCTTAAATTGAGAAAGAATGGAGAGGATATGAAAGATTATAGTGGGAGATGAGTAAGTAGAGCTCAAAGAAAGTTATCTAGAGCGCTGAACAGTTGATGTGGGTAAGGGGAAAGTAATTCATTAAAGGTGGTAGTTATTAAAAGTCTCTTAATGAATGAGGATCTAAACATAAAAACTTAGTAGGCTTCTTACCATTGGTACCCTTATGCAGGCAATCTATGCCTAGCGCGGGATTGTTTTCTTTGACTTGCTTGGCCCGTACTTCAGTCATTGTCTGAATAGGACTCATGCCACTGTTCTCAGCAAGTGACATAGGAATAACCTCCAAAGCATCAGCAAAAGCTCTCATTGCATACTGTTCCAACGATGGGCACTGAGAGAAGAAGTTACAAGAAAGGATGTAAATGCGGATGAGTAGATGTAAAGTTGTTGTGATATGTTAAAGTGTTAAATATACACACTTTTGGGTGCTGCAATACTCTCCCTGCGCCCACACATTATGCAGATATTGCAATCTAAACTATATATTTACACAATTATACACATATAGCTCTAAGACAACTATCGTAATTAAGCGGTTTCAATATATAGATTATGTCCATGCACTCTCCCTGCTCAATTCTCTTAGGAGTTAAAAATCACTTTTTGTTTATGTAACCCTAGCCACACCTCCTTCCTGTGACTCACACAGCCTACATAAATATGGTGTGATTTTCAAACAGATGCAATAATAAATAAAGCAAGTTTAAACATTAGGTCTTTCTTTACAGGAAGTGTGTAAGGAGACTGTAGGTCACATGCTGGGGAGGTGTGACTCAGGCTGTAAATACAAAAAGTAATTTAACTCTTACATGGAAGACATGTTTTGTAGCTTCCTGCAATGTAATTTTGTCCATACTACCTCTTTCACAAAAACAACTTTGTTATTTACATATACTCTCAGCACATACTACGATCAGTCAAAGAGAGATTGGGGTAAGTTAAACTGTGAATATCACTAAACCCCATAGCTACCTTTACCATGGCTTTGAAATACTACGCAGACCGAAATGAAAAACATAGCATATATATGAGGCCATCACCTGACAAATGCACTCAGGTTGTATTTGTGACCAGAATGCAGTTTGACAGACGTATAAAGTTACTTGCAACCTCAAATGTGTTCATACAGCTTTATTTTTTTTAAATGTATGTATGTTAACTATGAGTGAGTGAGTGTGTGTATGTAGAGGCCCATTTGTAAGAGCACAAAAATGCAAGGGCAATTTGTAGAGTGTTTATACGCAAATGTATGCATGAAGGTTCATGTGTGAATGCAGGGGTGCAAGTTTGTTTACGGTCTAGTAAATTCTCCTCTTCCCATCAGTGCTATTTCCCCCTTCCCCCAGATTGCCAATATCCCACTCCTCTCTATAATTAACAAATAGCCAGTTCCCGCCCTTCTCATAGCTAGTAGCCTCTAACACAACCTCCCACACTTCATAGCCCATTCTTCTCTACCATCCCTTAACCCCATCTCTGATCATTACAGGGCTTCACGCAGAGCCTTACATTCATCACAAACTAAAATGTGAGATCAGGATGGTGGCATGTAGGTAGACCGGATCGTGAAAATGTCAGTCTTCCATTTATCAGAAATTATGGATTGCTGCATGGGTTTGAGGTGATCAGATTTCACCACCTATACGGATATAACAGGTGGTCATGTACGGATTAATGTGTGCATATTTTTTAAAATTACAGTTGGGATGAGAGGAGTAACCTGCAGTTATCCGATCAGAGGATATATAAAATAACAGCTCCACTGCACTTCTGCCTTGAGTGTGAATAGGCATCTACAGAGAAATGCTATATCACAAAACTCAAGCATATAAAAAAATAAAAAATAAAAAAAAAGTGGTGAAGCTTTTAAGCTTACAGATCAGATAAAAAAAAAATAGCAATTATGTCTTCAAATCACTATTTAGTAACTAAACCTTTAGAAAAACATTTCTTAGTTGGGAAAAACTTGTAAAAAAAAAAAAAATACATGCAATTTCCCTGAAAGTGAAATTTAAATTACATTTTACCTTATCAGCAGCTTGGCTCACTGCTAACGCACAAGATATTTCTGAAGCTCCACCACCATAAACAACACGGTTGTCGCGGACCAAGTTGCGAATGACACACAAAGCATCATGAAGTGAACGCTTAGCTTCTTCGACAATCTAAAAAATTTAAACGTTATAACATGGTCAGCAGTTAGATTATCTGACCAAAAAAAAAAAAGACTGTCACAGACCAACAATCTAGAAGAATTACAAGCCCTCATATAAAGTTCACGGTGCCTAAAGGCTTACCATTTTGTTTCCTCCTCTTATGAAAATAGTCACAGCCCTCGAATTTTTGCATTGCTCAATAACAAGCATTCGATCCTTGGTTGTACCAAAGGAAATTTCTTTCACAATACCAGCGTAACCAAGTTTTTCAGGCGTTAGTTCACAGAATCGTGGAACAATACGGCCTCCAGTTGCAATGGCAATTAACTAGAAGAGGAGAAAATAAATAAATAAATAAATATATGTTTGCATTTGAATGGCTTATACGGACAAGAACACTAGGTGATTCTTACCTCTATTTCAGGACCCCCAACCCATCGAACAGCAGGGAGCTCATTTTGCAATAATAAATGATTGGCTTCATCATCAAAACCCCACTGGCATATTGCAAGGTTTGCACCAGTGTCTTTTATCTGAAATACACATTTTTTTTTTTTTTTGAGAAATACACTTAACCACTTAATGACCAAATGGAACACTTTGCAGTAATCATATTCTTGTCCCTGTATAACCCATTTGACATTTAATGTTGGGAAGTAATGCAATTGGGAATTACATTTTGGGATCAAAAAATAAAATGCAAGTACCAGAGAAACGACTGCATGATGATGTGGGTATGGTACCAGGAGTGCCCTAGCACCCTCCAGAATAGAGTAGTCAAACCATTTAATAAAAAGGACCTCTCACCAGGTTCACACCACTAGTGACTAACTTCTATGTTGCTAGAAGACCAGTTATCTCCAATGAGCCAAGCCTGCCCATGCAGGGCTAACTCAGGTGGTTCAAGCAGACCTCAGATCAGTTATCAAACTATTCTTTGATGACTGATAAAAAAAATAAAAAAATAAATTAAAAAAAAGGGCGACTAGAAATGTCTCGCACCAGAACCACTGGTTAAGTTGCTTTCAGATGAAGACCAAACTATTCTAACAGTCATGGATACTTTAGGGGAGAAGGGAAGGAAGAAGAGACCATACTTACTTGTTTTACCATCTCAATGAACTTTTCCTTTTCATATTTCTGAAGTGTTTTATAATCCTCTACAGAAGTTACATCAAGCTTATGCTTAGTCTTGGGTTTAGGTGGTTCAAATGGGCAAGTTAGGATAGCAATTTTAGCATCTTTAACTTCCTACAAATAAAAGACATGTTAAAAAAAATATAATAAAAAAATAAATAATAATAATAAAAAAAAAAAAAAAACAATGTCCAATGGCTCTTATTGGGATGAGTACCTTTGGCATTTGTGGGTGGCTGAAATCCTTGTCCACAATCACACCCTTGATTAGCTGTGTGTCTTCAAGTTTACCCCCAGCTTTGCCCTCAACTTTAATGAGCTCGAAGTCTACATCTTTGCGGTCCATGTCAGCAACTGTTAGAATAGCGTTCACAGCAATCTCTGCCATATGTCTGTGGCATCGATTGATACTAAAAAAGACAAAACAAAACTAGGCTCAGAAAAAGTCTGTTTTAGTACATTACATGCAAATGTGAATAATGTTAATGTTAAATATGTGGATTTGTTGCCAACTCAAACCTGTATTGTGCCTGTGATAAAAATATCTATACAAGCACAAACACAACATTCAAAAACTATTCAGACTTTCATTCATGTTGCAGCCATAGGCTAGGAAGTTAAAAGTTTGTTTTCCTTCACATCAAACTACATTCAATACCCACTTACGACATTCTGTTGGACGGGGACCATCGATGGACAGCCCTTTTCATTTCTCTCCAGAGATGTTTAATTGGGTGCAAGTCTGGGATCTGCCTGTGCACTCAAGCACATTCACATAGTTATTCTTGTCTTGAATGCCTACAGTGTCCCCTTTAAAGGACCACTCCAGGCACCCAGACCACTTCACTTTTTTTTATAAACGTAGCAGTTTCAGAGAAGCTGCTAGGTTTACAAATGGGTTAATCCTTCCTCAAATTCCTCTAGCAGCTGTCTCATTGACAGCCGCTAGAGGTGCTTGCATGGTCCTTTAAGGGTATCTATGTATTTTGTGTTCAACGCTGACTGTTTTGTGCATCTGAGGAGCAGTGTGTTTTTTCCACATATTACCTCAGGATCTCACCCAGAGTGACAAATGGGTTCTTGATCACGTCTTACCTTTACCAAGGCCTTACTCAGTCTGGCTGGGCAGCCAGCCCAAGGATGAGCCAGACTGTTCTAAACGGAAACAAACTGCTTTCATTTAAGAATTATGGGGGCCGCTGTGCTCTTGGAAACTTTCAAGGCAGCCAAATTTGCTTTTGTAGCTTAATCCAGATCAGCAATCCTGCCTCTAGGCTATGCAAGCAGTTCCCTTGACCCCATGGCTCGTTTTTTTGCTTTTATATGCACTTACAGCTTTTAGACTTTATATAGACAGGTGTGTCCCTTTCCAAATGAATTGAATTTGCAACAAGTGGAATCCAAACATTTCAAAGTTGATCCAGAGAAATGGGGTGCGTCAACTACAATTCAGCGGTCATAGGAGAGGGTTGGAATACTTATGTCAAAGAGTTTAAAAATGAGAGAGGTTGAAATACACTATACATATACACACTTAATGATTTTTTTGTGTGCAATTATCCATAGTGTACAGCAGCATGATTTTTTTCAGTTTTTTTTAATATTTGGAAAATGTTCACAATTACCATCAGTTTAACTCTAACTTTAAATATCAAGTTTTCTAAAAAATATTTTAAACTACACAGAATTATGTTTTTAGGGAGAGAGGTCACAAATGTCACTATATATGGGTTCCTAACTGCACAGAAAAAAAATAAAATAGTTGCACCATAAAATTATATACAGATAATCTTATTTCGGAGAAGAATTTCAGTTTTCAAATAAGGAGTCTCACGCTTGTGAATTTGGAAAACAATGTACAGCTCCCACACCTCCATGATTTTATTACCAAGCAAAACCCCCACTATTGCTGTGCATTTAGGGGACAGGGAATCCTTTGGAGCTCCTATTCCATTAAAATACTTATGGTTAGGTAGTGATCTACCTGTGACAGGGGTACATGTCCTTGTACCAGTAAGAGGGGTCTCCATTCTTTCCAAAGTGGAGTTATGTTCCATCTGTATACTAGGTCTCTGCTAATAAACTGTGACACTGAAGCATAATTACCATAGTGTTCACCTGAAACCCCACGTAGAAAAGAGGTACGTACCCTCTTAGAAATTAAGGGTTTCCTACCCTTCTACATTAAACAGAGGGAACTAGAAGATCTCTTTAATAAAGAGTCCCATCCACTTCCATAAAATACTATCCGAATGGACAATCAGATAAGGAATCTGTTTCTCTGGATGCCACATCTTTGTTACAAGTCAATTCAAGACAGTTCTGCTTTAGTAAACTGTAAATGCTCCTATTGTCAGGAACAACACCAAAGCCTCAAAGTGGTAGTCCATGCATAATCCTAGAGAAGGTGTTCAGTCCTCCAACATGTAAAAATTATTTCTGAAATCACTCACTAGAGATTTGCCTTAAGCACACATCAGCACAAGAACAGTGCGTTAGATGCTTAATGAGTGGTATAAAGATGCTACTGGTCTCTGAAACAATAGAAATGTGCACATAGGAAGGTCCATGAACAAGTGATCCGACAAATTTGGTGTGGAGGAACTACAGTCTGGTCTCACTGAATATCTCTGGGATTAACTGGAATGACTTATGAATCAGACGTTCCCATCCTGCATCAATGCCTGGCCTCACAAATGCTTTTTTTTTATTAAACAAAATAGACACAATTTAAGCAGACCCTATCCAAAATGCTGTGGCAAGCCATGTTACAATAGTGGCAGCTGGTACAGCTACAAAGGGAGACAATGCTAAATGAATAATTTATTGACCCTTCATAAATGCCCATGGAACAAGCTCATATAGAAGTCATATCACATGCTTTGGTTGCACTTTTTGCACCTTCCAATACTAATGGGGTAGTGGGGACTACTCTAGTTGGTTCATGATCTTGTGAAACTTCAGGCACTGTTTTTTCCCATGTGAATGTGGTATCTGTAAGGAACTGGAGTTCGAGCACATTTGTATCTATGCCTCCACGGAAAGCATTTGATAGCTATGTCTAATGACGGTTAAAAAATAAAAATAAAATAAAAAGCACAATAAGTTTTTACTTGCTTCCTCTTCATAATTTACATTGTATTTAATTATGTGAATAAGAAAATGAACAATTGTTCCAGACCGTTTTTTGTTTAGCATTATGCAGGGAATACTTACATTTTTGAGCCAAGAGTCGTCATTGCGGTTTGAATAAGTGGTTCTACATTATTAGGATCAAAAGGAAAACTGTCACTGATCTTATCTAAGTTCTCAATAGCAACACGTGCAGCCTGCTCATATCCATCAGAAATCCTGATGGGGTGAATTCCACGATCCAACAACTTCTCAGCTTCTTCAAGCAGAGCTCCTGCAAGAACTGCAACGACAACACAAACCTGATTAGTGCCTGCATTTATAACCTTAGATTATGTAACAGCGATGTAAGTAAATGTTTTCTTTTACAAGACACGTGATTCAAATGATCAGATCTTAGACTGGAACAAGATCTAAAGTGGGAGTGGGTTCATATGCAGAGAACCCATAAAACAAAGTAGTGGAGGAGTCTAAGAATTGTATGTGTGCACCCAATCTGTGACCAGCTTTTAAGGAGCACAACATGCAAAAATTGACCCCATAATTCTGGTCTTATCAGAGAAGTAGTTTATCCCATAGCTGCACTTACATGCATCACAGAATAAATTGAAGTGCAATATAAAACAGATAGCAGCTATACCATAGTTGTATATGTTTTGTTGAATAGATCTCAAGCAAAAATGCTGAAGATCCAGATTCCTTCCACCAGGACCACTTCTAAAAGCAAAAGTGGTCATGGAGATTAGAGTTATCCATTAATTTTTAAGTGCCAGTACATATAACACACATATAAAGGAAAACTAACAATGGACATAAACTGCCTCTCATTCCTTACCCACAACTCCAGTGGTGCCATCACCAATTTCATCATCTTGTGACTTGGATAACTCTACCATTAGCTTTGCAATTTGATGATCTACATCCATCATTCCTAGGATTGTTGCTCCATCATTTGTTACAGTAACCTGACCATCCTGGTCCACCATCATCTTGTCAAGACCTTCAGTTGAAAAAGTAAAAGGAGAATTAAAAAAAATAATAATTTTTTTACTGCATATACAGAAGAGTACTGACATTTACAAGGTATGCTCACCATTGGGGCCAAGCGATGTTCTCAAGGTGTTTGCAACTGCTTTTGCTGCCATAATATGAGACTGAAATACAGAAGAATGCACACAATAAAAATAATAATAAAGAGCTATATTTAGCAAACATACACAAATCTATTATTACAGCACTGCCCCAGGAAGCATCTGAGGAATAGCCAGTGGAGGTATCACTAAGTTGTAATGTAAACATTGCATTTTCTCTGACAGTGTTTACAGCAAAAAGCCTGAAGGGAATGATTCTACTCACCAGAACAAATACAATAATCTGCAGTTGGTCTGGTGACTATAATGTCCGTTTAATTAAACTGGGATGGCAAAAGGGAACTCATGGCACCATACTCACTACACAGAGTGGTAATAATGCTCGGGGTGTTCCTTTAACGTTCAGACACTGTTCCCTGCAAACTGACAAATGTAAGTATTACTACATTTGAGAAATGGCTATGTTCACATGTGTTACTGAGAAAACCTCTAGTGACAAACAGCCACTAGAGGTACTTCATCAATGAAGACTTTCTAGTAAAAAATATTAATGTTAATTGTCACCAAACACTTCTCTATGAGAAATACTAGATTCAGTGCTTCTCAATGAGACATTTGAGTGGAGGAACAGAGCAAATGCTGCATCTGTAACTTAGGGTGCCAAAACTACCCCATAAAAAGCACTGAATTGGTCAAAGAGACTTGATCTTGACCATCTCATGGCAGGTGAAGCAGATTCAACACCAGTGCTCGGATGTCATTTAACTAAAGTTGGGTTTAACATAACCTAAACATGCACAAGAAGACTAACGTTATACATAAATATAATATATTTATAACATTTGAGTGTGCCTTTCAATGTAAGCAAAGTAAGGTCTGGAAAGAGACATGAGTTTCTCTGTTCTTATATCCTAATTGGGTAAAAGACAAGCTTCCTGGGAAAAAGAATTGGGATGGAGAACAGGAAGACACCTGTAAAAAAAAAAACATGAGAAATGACTGACATGTCAGGGAGAGACCATATTTTAAATATAAATTTAAAATATATAAATGTGCTAGTTTTTTTTTTTTCCTCGTAACAATGCATAGAATTTCTTTCAGTGCAAAAGTCTAACACTTGATAATAACCACTTAAAGGGACACTATAGTCACCCAGACCACTTCAGCTCAATGAAGTGGTCTGGGTGCCAGGTCCCTCAGGTTTTAACCCTTCAGATGCAAACATAGCAGTTTCAGAAAAACTGCTTTGTTTACATTTGGTGTTAAGCCAGCCTCTAGTGGCTGTCTTCCGGATAGCCACTAGAGGCATATTATGCCACCATCGCGCAGAGCGTCCATAGGAAATCATTGAGAAATGCTTTCCTATGGACACTTTGAATGCGCGCGGCACTTGCCGGGCATGTGGCTCCGCTGATGGCGGGGAAGGAAAGGTCACCAGCGCAGAGGGAGCCCAGCGCTGGAATAAGGTAAGCTGCTGAAGGAGTTTTAACCCCTTCAGCGCCACAGGAGGGGGACCCTGTGGGTGGGGGCTTCTCAGGGTACTATAGTGTCAGGAAAACCGCTTTGTTTTCCTGACACTATAGTGATCCTTTAAGGAACACACGACAATCTATGCAGACATTCAGTGCAGGGTTTTAATTATTATTTATATAGCGCCAACAAATTCCGCTGCGCTTTACAGTGGTTGGATGAACAGACATGTAGTTGTAACCAGACAGGTTGGACACACAGGAACAGAGGGGTTAAGGGCCCTGCTCAATGAGCTTACATGCTAGTGGGAGTGGGATAAAGTGACACAAAAGGTAAGGATAGTATTAGACTAATGACAGTTGCAAGAAAGGAATCCGTTGGGAGCTATTAACAGTTTAATTGATACACTTATGAAGAAGTGGGGAGGGAAGTTAGTTCCACAGGAACGGTGCAGCCCTTGATAAGTCTTGAACGCGAGCATCAGAGGTGGGATTACAGACAGAAGATAGACGCAAGTCTTCAGCTGAGCGTAAGGGCCTAGACAAGACATACTTGTGTATTATGGAGGAGATGCCAAGTGACAGCATAGACCGTCATGCAGTAAAGGTAGGGCCTAAGACTGACAGATTAGCTGTGAGCGCTGCTCAAAGCCCTTTAAATACCGCTGCCAAGTGAAATCGTTATTTAACCGTGTATGCGCGAGCATTGAAGTCTATGGAGGATCCTGTCAGACACTCCATAGAAAGAGCCATTTCCATGCAGCCGCCACTAGTGACGACTGTCGGGATTGACACTGTAGCTCCGCCCAGTGTGTAAAAGTCAGGTGGAGGAAATATACAGGGACACTGTTCTTGTTTATACTTTGTCTCGGTATACATATAGGATATCAAAATAAAGTCCTATTTCTCCTTTAAAGGGACACTGTAGGCACCCAGACCACTTCAGCCCATTGAAGTGGTCTGGGTGCCAACTCCCATCACCCTTAACCCTGCAAGTTTAATTATTGCAGTTTGTATATAAACTGCAATAATTACCTTGCAGGGTTACGTCCTCCTCTAGTGGCTGTCTATCAGACAGCCACTAGAGGGACTTCCGTTTCTAAGACAACTTTTGGAGGCTAATCTACACTGGACATCCTCACGCTATGCAGGAGGACCTCCAGCATCACCAGGAACCGCCATAGGAAAGCATTGAATAATGCTTTTCTATGGGGAGATCTAATGCGCGTGCATGGTCATTGCTGCGCATTAGGTCTCACCTGCCTGCGGATGTCGGCAGTGGGCGGAGCCTGACCCAGTGCCGAGGGACATTGGCGCTGGATTCAGGTAAGTGACTTAAGGGGTTTTAACCCCTTCAGCGATGTTGGATTGGAGGTGGGAGAGGGCCACTAGAGAACCCCTTTAAAAATTATAGGTGTATGTTGACTGGGTTGGAATTTCAATGAAATAAAGATTCTCTAAAATACAATGCTGCTTTATAACTGTAATTCACTTGCATTATTTGTTTTATAACTTCTAAAAATTACTTGAAATTCTAGACATATTGGGCATTTTAACAATCAGGACTAATTAGTAGATCTATTTTGAATTAGTTTTTTTTACTTGGACTTGATGGGTAGAAATTATTGCATTTAGAACAGCGGGGTGGGGTGGGGGGGGGGGGAAGTAACTTGTTCCTCCTACTTATTTAATACGTTTTTATGCTTTTTATTACTATTGTGTTAATGATACATACAAGGTATTTAAAAAAAAGGCCCATTTCTCCTTTAAAAATGATATATAGTATGTACGGATTGACTTAAACAGAAAAGGGTAAATTATGGCGGAATGATTGCATTGCAAAAATGCCAAAAACACCTTGGTCACAAATTAGTTGCATCTCAAAAAAAGCCTTGGTAAATTAAATAAATCCCTTCACATAAACAAACACATACATATACATGTATATCTATATCCATTTTTGAAACAGATGTTACTTACCATGCCATTGTACATGACTGAAATCTTTGTGAGCCCATACCAGGACGCATCCCCACCCAATAAAATAAAAATGGACTTAACTCTTGCAATATATTAGTAAGTTTAGTAGTGGAAAGCTTGTTTAATGGCTTATGGTCATTCTGCAAGCAAAAAAGCTCTTGAAAATACTAGTTTAGTAGTGTGACAACTTCTTGCACTCCAGCTGTGGCCTTACAGATATCAACCAATCTCTACTGACTGAGCATCACCACCAGCTTACATTGTCTGCAGTTCTTCCATATATAGATGGATGTTACACTTGGGTTTGTGAGCACTAGATACGCAGAACCCATGTAGCTTACAACTTACTGACACCCGAGACATTTTTAAGGGAGCTGCACATTGCAGGCCCATATAGATGGATTTAAAAGAAAAATATTCCAACTCCTCCACTTTACCTAAAGTTTGCAATCCCCTTGAAAAAATAAAATAAAACTTCATAATTCATGGTTTAGTAATGACTCCCAAAACGTTTATTATCTACTTCTGATATCACAGCCATGATGCCATCATTCCTGAAGGCATTGTAACCATGAATATAAAGTAAAAATCCATAATGGCTGAATATTCTCAATGGAATGTTTTATCAGCCGCTCCCTCCCATGCTGTGCCAGCTAAATGTGTAATAACGGCTTTAGAACACGGCGCGTTCCCCCGTGCGCTAACCGAGGCCGCACAATGACCATTCGCCTGTCACACACGAGGTTCCTGGCCCTCACTCTCTCACCTTGAGGGCGTCCAGCCCGCTGAGCCGGGACTTGCGGTCCTGGTCCTTGATGATGATGAACGGCCGTCCATATTCATCGAAGGCGAGGGTCCCCATGGCTGACATGATGGCGGCACAGAATGGAATGGAACGATATCAACGGACCGCGCGGCGTACGCGACCAGCAAAACCTACCCGGCTTCCGTACCGCGCATGCGCAGCTACCACTCCCAATCGCTTCCTACAAGCAGCAACGGATTCTGGAAGCCTCCATGGGAGACCGTACCATTATCAAAGGAAGACAGGGGGTGGGGAGAAGGTTGTGTCGCCTTTAATATGTGGCTTTACGGTCCCTTTTCATTTTTTGTAATAAAATACATGACGCAGTTTACGCTTCGCAACGTTTTTAAATGCTTTCTGTTGTACATTATTACGTGTCTGGTGTAGGAAGCAATTAGCGATTCTCTTTGTCGAAAGTAATGTGTTCCAAACTGTCAACGTGACATCACGCGAAGCGTATCAAACTGCCCCGCCCACCGTCTAGCAGCCAGTTACCCTCTGCAAGGTGTGCCATTTCAGTTACTGGCAAGTGTTGTAATCACACACTGCCAGCCCTAACTCTCCTGCTTAGCTAGACTAGACAATGCCCTATCTACCCTGAGCCAGCTGGCAGTGGGTGACAGCAGCCCAGGGTTTATAGAGAGTGTATGAACATGCAGTCTCTCAGAGTGTTATTACTGAGCAATAGATGGACAACAGAGCCAGTCAAACCAGCATTTTGAAGGGTTTCCTCTGATTTATTTGTTTTGCAGTACTTTGGGCACAAGTCTGGCACTCACAGGGTTAATCAATGACTGGCCATAGTTAGTACTATCTCCCTAGTGAGACATGGTAACCATGACAGCTTACACTTACAGCCTCCCACACTGATACAATAACTGGGAGCAGCACTGTAACCAGCCATGTGCTCCATTCAGTCCCCTCCTCTTCCTCCCTGTCTGCTGCTGCTGTTACAGTGAAATCCTTCCTTTCCTGTCACCTCCATCTCTCCGGCCAGGGTACTCCATGCCTTCATATCACAATCACTAAAGAGAGCAGTGCAGGGGTCAGAGCATATATGTCTGCATGAGCACTATATGAGATTCACCTAGTTTAGATTTTTGAAGAAAAGCTATTATATTTGCTTGTCAGGTCAATGTCAAAGAGTTTATTTTATGTATTTTCTCAACAGTGAGCACAGAGACCTGACTGTTATTTATTCCTCACATGCAAAGGGAAAATTAAACTCATCATTATATATGTATGTAAAACCCCCCAGATACAATTCGTATCTTGTAACAGTGAGATAATGCTGGGGGAGTGTTCATGTAAAGTGTTGGTAGTGGGACAGGAAACCCAAATCAATATTTAGTCCTCTATTCTTGCTGTTAAACAATTTGATGGCATCAATGCTTGCTTCTATTTCCTCTCTTATGCCAACAACCAAAAATACATCCCCCAAATTATCACAGAACTGGAACTATTCATCCTCGCACATATTTATTTCAGTTTTAACAATGAGGTTTACTGCTATGGGCACTAACACGGCACCCCGATATGCTAATCTGTTTATGGCAGATCATGAACAGCGATTCCTAGAAATACAGCACACCAGACCATACAAATATTATCACAAGGGGAAGCTACAGTGCTAAGAAAACGAGTTTGTTTTCCTGGCACTCTAATTTCCCTTTAAGTTTACTGCACCCCAGTCACTATTATTAGAGTGTGTATATGGAGGGGGTGCCTGGTCACTTGGAAGACGTGCTCTCATTTGAATGCTTATTATAGCCCTTAGCTGCTGCCGCCCATGGATGTCATGTCAACTAAACTGTTGCACCACCAATTATTATTATTGTAAGGAGCCAAACTGTTTTAGCATGGTTTGACACTTACCTGAGAGGCGCTGCATCTGTTCTTCAGTATGAGAAGCTGGATATTTCTGTAGAACATAGCACAGATGATGCAAGAATGCACTCGTTGACTGAAAGTTTTGAGCTAGAGCTCTAATCCAGTGAACACAGTCTTGCAGCGTAGTACTTTGTTCTTTAGAGCAGTCTGGGTTCTCATTCTGGAAAAGACTGGATGCTTTGGATGAGGAGCACAGCAGCACTTGGGTAAGTTGTTAAACCATGCTAAAGCAGTTTGACATCTTAAAGTGACACTTAAGGTGGGCACTCCTGGCACCATTACTTCAGTAGATGTTCCTTTTAAAGCAACACTGTATGAATGCAAACATGTATTTCTAACACTATAGTGCCCCTATGCCTAGTTAAATACAGATCCCCTCCCCCCATTTGTCATAAAAATGACTGAAATAAAGAATTTACTTATATTTTTCCAGTGCCCTTACTCCCTTGGTGCTGCTCATCTCTCTGCCTCCTGCAATGCCATAAAGGAGGCGTGGCCTCTGCCAGTGACCGTCTGATCCAATGCTCCTCAACGAGCGTCATGCGCTCATCCAAGTTTCTCCATAGGAAAGCATTGTATTCAATGCTTTCTTATAAGCTGCAGTGTCACGCTGCTGAATTTAGCTTGGTCAGTGCAGAAGAAGCGCCTCCAGTGACTGTTAGGAAAATGGCCACTAGGAGTGAATTTAACCCTGCAATATTAACAGAGTTTATAAAAAAAAAAAAAAACTTTTATATTGCACGGTTAAAAGACTACTTAATGGGCTGGGTGACTTTAGTGTACCTTTAACTGAAATGTATTAATTAATGTCCTGCTTTCAATGCAGGCATAATCAAGTCAAATACAAGTTATTTTTTCCCCCCCACATTTCATTTTGGTTTCTGCTTTACTAATATAATTTATATTATTACAAAATACATATGCTTGATGTCCTTTTATTTTTCAGGGTAATCTGACATGTCCAATGCTGTTCAAGAAGAGCTCTCTCTGATTTCTAACAGTGGCAAGTCAAAGAAAAAGAGATGGGGCTTGGTAATCACTGGTGTTGTAGGAGGGACATTAGTGGCACTATATGCTGTAGCTACTCCATTTGTAGCACCAGCATTGAGAAAAATTTGTCTTCCCTATGTTCCTGCAACTTCGACACAGGTTGAAAATGTACTAAAAATGCTTAATTCTAGAAGTGGGCCAGTGGTTGACATTGGAAGTGGTGATGGACGTATTGTAAGTTGCAAGCCTTCATATCTTTTTTGGGTGTTGTGTGTTAATGGGCACCTGTTATATAAAAATGTATATACATATAAAATATGACTGTTGTGTTGATCAGCAATATGTCTCTCTTACCATCGGGCAAACTTAGTGGACTGCAATGGACTGCAGCGGGCTTGTTGGAAAGATCTAAGGATCTCCCGAGGTTTGCTGGAAAGATCAAAGGATCTCCTGATCGGGCACATTATAATTTATAATTCTAAGCTGCTATCATTGCCTTTGATGTACACTTGCCTGTTAGGTGAATGACCCTGCATGTGTATTTTTATGTGTGAAAATTGGATGTCAAGCAGTCCATGTTTGCAAATACCACAGATTTCTTTTGTACATTCCTAGTGGTCATATTTACAGTCTAAATATGACTGGTCAGATTCTCTGAAATCCTTTCAGTGGTGACAAAGAAATCTGTATCAGTTCAGTGGTGCAGAACAAGATTGTCGATTTTGAACAGTTGAATCCTTGTTTAAGGACCACTATAGGCACCCAGACCACTTCAGCTCAATGAAGTGGTCTGGATGCCAGGTGGTGGGTCTTGAGGACTGGTTTGAGACCCACTGCTTCCGCGATTCTCACTGTGAAAATCACAGTGAGAAGATGCTGGATGTCCATAGGAAAGCATTGAATAATGCTTTCCTATGGGCTGTTTGAATCCGTGCGTTGCTCTTGCCGCGCATGCACATTCGGATCTGACGTCGGCAGGGGGTGGAGAGTTCCCCAGCACAGTGGGAGCCGGCGCTGGAGAAAGGTAAGTGGCTGAAGGGGTTTTAATCCCTTCAGCCCAGCAGAAGGGAGGCCCTGAGGGTAGGGGGGAACCTACTGACCCTACAAGTGCCAGGAAAACGAGTTTGTTTTCCTAGCACTATAGTGGTCCTTTAAGTTGACAAACATATTTTGTTTGGATAATTAAGATACATTTAAAGTTCCTTATATAATATCACTGGTTATGAGTGAACTTTCAGTACTGTGGAATCCCCCTATTTTTCTCAAACCAGTATAAAATGTTTAACTAGAACAAGTGGGACTGCATACATTAAACTTTTACACATGCCCACTACAATCACCTTACTTTTTAATAAAGTGTTTAGTTTATTCAGCAGCACAGAAATAACATTTTTAATATACTATCAATAGTGATGTCCCGAACGGTTCGCGAATGGTTCGCTGCGGACTCATCATTGAGTAAACTTTGACCCTGTACCTCACAGTCAGCAGACACATTCCAGCCAATCAGCAGCAGACCCTCCCTCCCAGACCCTTCCACCTCCTGGACAGCTCACTAAAAATGTAGCCTCACAATGAATGTAAAATGGATGCTGTCCAGGAGGTGGGAGGGTCTGCTACTGATTGGCTGTAATGTGTCTGCTGACTTTGAGGTACAGGGTCAAAGTTTACTCAATGATGAGTCCGCAGCGAACCGTCCGCGGTTAACCGTTCGCGAACCGTTCGGGACATCACTATTGATAGTATATTAAAATTTTTATTTTAAAAAAATTTTTTTATAAATTTTATTTTAAGTTTACTCAATGATGAGTCCACGGCGAACCGTTCAGGACATCACTAACTATCAATAATAATTAAGAATAGGTAATGTGTGGTGTGCCAGTTAGAAGAATCCTTGTCATAATAGGTATTTCTTTATTCCAAATACATAAGCTCCAGATAGATCAGATATAAATATATCTTTATTTATATATATATAATATTAAATACTAGAAATTGGATTAAAAAATAAATATTCACAGCAACCACATACTTTTTGTGATGCTTTCCTGGTGAGGAGAACAGCCTTTCCAGTGATGCTACTCAGGCGAGGTCTTATAGTTTTCCGGTCTTCTTGTGAGAGCCATATCTCACACAGGAGGCTGCTGGTATGGCCAATACAATATACCAGTATTGCATGGCAAATCACTTCAAATGTCATAACCTCGAAAAGTCTGCTGTAGTGGTTATGGTGCCATGCGTAAACTGGTGCTTTTCCAAGTTAAAGGGGCAAACCATTTTGCAATGTTCTTCCACTTGCTTATGTCCTACCTAAGAACTGTGCTATAGGCAGCAGTAGCTAAATGATGATATTGCAGTTCATTCATTGGATTAGAGCATCAGCTGAGACAATGACATGAGTGTCTGTGCATAGAATGTGCTCAGTATTAACATCAGCAAACTTGAAATTGTAATTCTGTGATGGCTAATGAAATCTGTTGGAGGTGGACTTTCAAAGTTCAACATATCCAACAGATTTGTGAACACTTCAGAGCTTTGAGCAGGGAGATAAGAACACCAATATGTAAACATTGGTATTGACACGGAACTTAAAATAAGTTCAAAATGGATCTGTCTTTCAGGAAGTATGAAGGGAAACTTTAATATGTCACAACCAATAGAGGTGTGGCTAGAGCTGCTGATCTCTCTCTCTCTCTCTCTCTATATATATATATATATATATCTCCTAAACAGCAGAGACTTTAAAGGCATGATATGTACACCAAAACCACTTAAGGAAAGCTAAGTTAATATTGGTTTAAGACTGATCCTTTAATCAAACTCACATACCTTTTTTTTTTTTTTTCTTTAAACATTCTTTTAGGTGATAGCTGCAGCAAAAAAAGGGTTCCAAGCAGTTGGTTATGAATTGAATCCTTGGTTAGTGTGGTATTCCAGGTATCGTGCATGGAGAGAAGGTGTGAATCATAAAACCACATTTTATATTTCGGATTTATGGAAGGTAAGGAAAGAATACTAATATAGTAATTCATCCACTGTTTTCCCAAAATTTAATGTTTAGATGTTTTAAAATGGTATCTACATGCAATGAAAAATTTCTAGAGATTTTTATATCTCTCCTATATAATTAAACTGATTTAATACAGAAAAATATATACTAAATAATTTCTTTCTGTGCTAATATCTTATTAGTTACAAAATCAGTTACATTATATCATTTGAAATCATTGTAGGGATCTATTCACTAAACGTTGAATTTATTCCTGTAAATTTAGTAAATTTCATTCTGCTTAATTCAGTTTAGTTTATCTTATACAATTCCCATGATGTTGTCAAATGGACCTCATTACATTGTAGGTTTTATTTACAAATGAAGGGAGGTTGACGGCGCTAACATTAGCGTAAGTTGGAGGGCATGTTTAACCCCTTAAGGACTGAGCCAAATGTACATGTTGTGAACAAAACAAAACGTAAACAAAACCTGGCATTTGCGCGACATGTCTGTCCAACCGTAATTCACCTCTTTCATATTAAATGCACCCACCCTTATTATATATCATTTTATTCAGGGGAAACAGGGCTTTCATTTAATATCAAATATTTAGCTATGAAACATAATTTAAGAAATTTCGTTTTTTTTAGTTCTACATGACATTTTAACTGTCAATGTCATAATACTGTTTGGTTTTACTGCAATAAAATACACATATTTTTATTCAGCAAAGTCTCACGTGTAAAACAGTACCCCCTATGTACAGGTTTTATGGTGTTTTGGGAAGTTACAGGGTCAAATATAGCACGTTACATTTGAAATTGAAATTTGCCAGATTGGTTATGTTGCCTTTGAGACTGTATAGTAGCCCAGGAATGAAATTTACACCCTTAATGGCATACCATTTACAATCTTAGACAACCCAAGGTATTGCAAATGGGGTATGTCCAGTCTTTTTTAATAGCCATTTGGTCACAAATACTGGCCAAAGTTAGCGTTAATATTTGTTTGTGTGTGAAAAATGCAAAAAAAACTGTTGTACTCGGGAGACTTCGCTGAACACAAATATTTGTGTTTCAAAACAGTAAAAAGTATCACAGCAATAATATCGTCCATGTAAGTGCTGTTTGTGTGTGAAAAATGCAAAAAACTTCACTTTTACTGGTGATATCATCGTTGTAATACATTTTACTGTTTTGAAACACTAATATTTGTTTTCAGCGAAGTCTCCCGAGTAAAACAGTTTTTTTGCATTTTTCACACACAAACAAATATTAACGCTAACTTTGGCCAGTATTTGTGACCAAATGGCTACTAAAAAAGACTGGACATACCCCATTTGCAATACCTTGGGTTGTCTAAGATTGTAAATGGTATGCCATTAAGGGTGTAAATTTCATTCCTGGGCTACTATACAGTCTCAAAGGCAACGTAACCAATCTGGCGAATTTCAATTTCAAATGTAACGTGCTATATTTGACCCATGTACAGGTTTTATAGTGTCTTGGAAAGTTATAGGGTTAAACATAGTGCTAGCAAATTAAATTCCCTATACTTTCAGCATGGGTTGTCAGGCAGGTCATGCTAATTGTAATTAATTAAAATACCTAATTATGTAAAAATATTACATAAATATATACGTAGAATTAATATATGTATATATATATATATAGGGATATGTGATATTTATGTATATAGATATATATATATTATTTCATTCTATGTGTATTTTGATATAAATATATATATATATATTAATATCACAATACAGTTAGAACGAAATAACACACATCTATGTATTTTTTAATTACCATATATACTCAAGTATAAGTCTAGTTTTTCAGCACATTATTTGTGCTGAAAAACCCTCACTCGACTTATACTCGAGTCAGTGTCTATATTATGGCAACTAACATCGCCATAATACAGACCAGGACCGCCGGGCTCATTACAAGCCCGGCAGTCCTGTTGGGGGCTGGCAGTGAGCTGTAACTTACCTTTCCTGCAGCTCCTGCATTCTCCTGTGCTCCGGTCAGCTCCCTTCTCCTCCACTGTAAGTCTTGCGGTGTGACTGCCGCGCGGAGCGTTGCCACGGTGACCTGTGGCAACGCTCTGACCCCGCGGCTCTCGCGAGACTTACAGTGGAGCTGACCGGACCGGAGGAGAAGGGAGCTGACAGGAGCTGCAGGAAAGGTAAGTAACAGCTCTCTGCCAGCCCCCTCCTACACAGCCCATCCACTGGACCACCAGGGAATGAGAGCCCCCCTCCCTGGCCAGCTAACAAGCAGGGAGGGGGGACGAAAATAAAAATTAAATAATAAAAAAAAATATTACAATAAAAAATATGTAAATATTAAAAATAAAAAAAGTAATTAATAAAATAAAAAAATAATACTAATAAAAAAATTAAAAATAATAAAAATGCCCTCCCCCACCCAGTTCACACACAAATACACTCAAACAAACACACACTCTGCATTGTATACACACACACTGCATTATATACACACACACTGCATTATACACACACACTCATACAAACACACACTCTGCATTATATATACACACACACACACTCTGCATTCACACAAACACACACACTCTGCATTCACACAAACACACACACTCTGACTTATATAATGCAGAGTGTGTGTTTGTATGAGTGTGTGCGTATATAATGCAGAGTGTGTGTTTGTATGAGTGTGTGTGTGTATAATGCAGATTGTTTGTATGAGTGTGTGTGTATAATGCAGAGTGTGTGTTTGTATGAGTGTGTATATAATGCAGAGTGTGTTTTTGTATAAGTGTGTGTGTATAATGCAGATTGTTTGTATGAGTGTGTGTGTATAATGCAGAGTGTGTGTGTGTATAATGCAGAGTGTGTGTGTGTGTGTATAATGCAGAGTGTGTGTATGAGTGTGTGTATAATGCAGAGTGTGTGTGTGTGTATAATTCAGAGTGTGTGTATGAGTGTGTGTGTATAATGCAGAGTGTGTGTATGAGTGTGTGTGTTTGTATGAGTGTGTGTGTATATAATTATAAAAATCACAGAATTTCATAGCCCCAAGTTTTACCCTCGACTTATCCACGAGGCATAGCATATTTCACAATTGTTGGTCACAAAACTGCACTCGACTTATACATGAGGTGGTCGTCAAAGGAGTGCCCAACAGGGTACCTGGGAACTTCACAGTCCTGGTCCTGCTTCCTACCTCTGAGCCACAACAGATTCGTTTATTTTCAAGCTATTCCAGTTTTGTTCTTCCTGGCTTGTCTGCAGCAGTGGGGGCTGGTCCTTGACAATAGCTGTGTTTCACCTGACCCTGATCAGTTATCAGCAGGGTATATAAACTCAGCCTCGCCCTGTGAACTGGATCAAGTCTTTGATCCTGTTGTCTGTGTGTTCCGTTCCAGTGTTCCTGTCGTTTGATACTCTGTTTCCTATTGATCTCGGCTTCTGACATCATTTACTCTGACTTCTGGCATTCCTTGACTTCGGCTACTCCTCGTTGTTCCTGTCCTCTGGCATCCTTTGACCTCGGCTATCCTTTGACAATCCTTACGGAAAACCTAGTTCTTCCTTCTGTACCAGGGAAGAAAGTGGTCAGTCAGAATCTCCACATACTTTGCAGAGGTCATCTTTACATCTTTGGGGATCCTAAAGGGGCTGGCCAGCTCTCTTCCCATGATTCCGGGCCCAAAACATGACTCCACCACCTCCTTGCTGACATCACAGCCTTGTTGGAACAGTGTGGCCGTCCACCAACCATCCATTACTCCATCCATCTGGACCATCCAGGGTTGCACGGCACTCATCAGTGAACAGAACTGTTTGAAAATTAGTCTTCATGTATTTTTCTGCCCAATGCAGCTGTTTCTGCTTGTGAGCACTGGTTAGTGGTGGCCGAATAGAAGGTTTATGCACAGACTCTGGAGGACTATATACCTAGATGTATGTGGGACTCCAGAGGCACCAGCAGCTTCAAATATCTGTTTGCTGCTATGTAATGGTATTTTAGCAGCTGCTCTCTTGATCCGATGCATGGATCTGGCAGAAATCTTCCTCAATGTGCCTTTATCTGCACAAACCCGTCTGTGCTCTGAATCAGCCACAAATCTCTTAATAGTGCGATGATCTGCTTAAGTTTTCGTGAAATATCTAATGTTTTCATACCTCGTTCAAGGCGTTGAACTATTTCACTATTTTCGGCAGCAGAGAGATCCTTTTTCTTCCCCATATTGCATGAAAATGGTGCTCTGCTTAATAATGTGGAGCACCCTCCTTTAGTAGTTTTTCCTTAAATTGGTCTCACCTGGCAATCTAATTCTCACAGGCGTCAGAGATTGTTTTCAGTGACCAAAAGAGCCAAAAACAAAACAAAAATCTTTGTGACACTTAAATAGAATTTGCATAATAATTTGGAACAGGGTTTAATTGCAGGGCGGAGCAAGGCTTTGTAAGCCTTTCACTGCCCTGCGGAGCTCAGTCTGCGCCGTGCCCTCGCTGGGTGAAGGTGGATTAATATTTTAGCGACAGATTTTTTTATTTTTCGGCAGATTTTTTTTTGCGCACTGGTTTTTTTATTAAATTTTTTACAAGTTCGATGGGTATTATGGTTTTTATTTGGCCTTTTTTGGGGCTGAAAAATTAAGATTTTAGAAAAAAGAAGACATCAAATGGTAAGTTTTATTTTATTTACAGGTAGTTAGTTCTTTTATTTCCCCCTCACTATTTTTAGGTTGAGGGTGGTAGGTAGGGGATTATTTTATTATTTTGGTGGGGAAGGGGGTGACTTGGGGACTCCTAGTCACCTTGGAAGGGGGCATTTTCATTTAGGGCCCTCACCCGCCGCTCTGGGGTGAGGGCTGGGGGGAGGATGACAATAGGTCCCCCCCATTGTCTTTTATGACCCCCACCCGCCGCTCAGGGGTGGGAGCTGGGGGGAGGACAATAGGTCCCCCCCATTGTCTTTTATGGCCCCCACCCGCTGCTCAGGGGTGGGGGCTGGGAGGGGGGACAATTGGTCCCCCCCCATTGTCTTTTATGGCCCCCACCCGCTGCTTATTCCCCCCTCACTATTTTTAGGGTGGTAGGTAGGGGATTATTTTATTATTTGGGTGGGGGGGAGACTTGGGGACTCCTAGTCTTTTATTACCGCCACCTGCCGCTCAGGGGCGGGGGCTCGGGGAGGGTAATAGGTCCCCCCCAATTATCCTTTTGTTTTTTTAACAGTGAGCAGCCACAGGCTGGAACTGGGGCCTTAGGAAGTGGCAGGGAGCACTGTTTAGTTTTACATATTACAAGGAGGGAGCTGTGCGCTGGTAGCTCCCTCCTTGTAATAAACTGAACGAACAAATGAAAACTGATATTGTTTGTTTGTGAGTCTTACATTTCTATTCATTCATTCGTCTTTCTGACGATTCAATGAATAGATTAAATTCCCGTTCGCATGCCCAAGTGTTTAACTGGGCATGTGCGGGAATCTCACAACGCTATCTAGTGTGGGCAGATGACGTGTCCCACAGGGCATTCATCTACCCACACAAAGATGGCGGTGCCCTGAACATAGGTCCGGACACAAAATAAAGTTAAAAAATAGGTAATATGGGGATCTTTGGGGTATTTGGGGTGTCTAGGGGGTCAGTTAGCTGTATGAGTCAGGAGGAGGGTTAAAAAAAAAACGGGATTCGGCCATGACAGTGCCGCTATAAGGAAGTGAGCAGCCATCCAGTTGGAAATCGCAGAGAGTCAGTCAGAAACAGAGTGCACACTGAAGGTTGGTAGAGGAGGATAAACTGCAGGGTATTTGGATGAGGTTTGCGTGGTTTCTAGTTGTTTAAGTGTGAGCAGATGAGGTGAGGGGCCCTGGGTTGGAAGAGATGTCACCAGCTGCTATAAGTAGGAAGAGATAGTGACCTGAGGCGTGAATGGGTTTTATATGGGCGGGGTCTAGGATGAGACTGGGTGAGAGCAGAAGAGAAAGAATAGAGAAGTGAGTGCAGGGCATGAGATGAGAGGGGGGGGGGAGTGTAGCAGAGATGAAATATGACTTAAATACCTCATAGAGTTTCACATAACAAATTAATTTGGACAACCAAATACTATTTGGCAAGTAAATAGAGCATTGTGTGAATTATTGTGTATAAAGTGTGAGAGCAATCAAAATCGCGTCCTAGAAGAACACATTGTAAATAACTGCTATTTGTAGGTAAAGGAAGTTATTCATTTAAAACATGTAGACAATCAGCTTGTATAATAAAGGTTTAATAAACAATTTTAAAAACTTGTTTAACTGTTAATGACCTAAATGACCTAGGTACTCAACCCTGCTTTCAGTTCATGTTCACATCAGTAGTGTCAAAAATACATGTAGCATACAGGTATCAGTCAAACCATATATTTAGGACAATAAGGCCTGGATTATGTAAGCAATAAATGTTATCAATTAAACATATACACATATATAATATTTTATTTACACTTTGTACTTTCAGTGCACTTTTTTTTTCTATGACCGAAAGGTAATTTACACTGGAAAAATACATACATTTATTAATTACATACATATTAACCCCATTGCTATGAAAACTCTAAATGAATCCTGGCTCAACCATTAATATCTAAATATCTAATTTACACTGGAAAAATACATACATTTATTAATTACATACATATTAACCCCATTGCTATGAAAACTCTAAATTAATTCTGGCTCAACCATTAATATGTGCATTATGTCAAAAAATTCATTATTAGAAAATATAAAGAATATGGACGACCATGGCTCTGCTTAGAGTAGGCTGCCCAGCAAAACTAAATGAGATTGTAAGGAGAGAATTAGGCTATGGTTTATTTAGAACCGTTTATTGGCTTCCGATAGGCCTTTTATCGGTTCATATTGGTTCAATTACCAGTCTTAAAGGGTTAACAGGAGCTGATAATTTGTTTCAATATTGGTTATACCTATTCTTTACATTGAAAATATTGGATAAGACAATGTAATTTTATTTACTGGGGTCATAAATGCCCAATAAATTGCCTCATGCGATTTGACAAATATAAGTTGCTGTTTGTGCTGCCAGCAGGTAAATAGTTAGAAAAAACAGTTGTTATGCCCCCCAAATTAGTATAAGGGAGGTTGTAAACCTCCTTTTTGCACACACACACCATGCTGTGGGTGAGTGGGGGCATGTCTAATTACTAAATATGCAGCTGATCCCTATCATTGAATGCTCGTGACTGGGCAGCTGTTACTGCCCAGTCACTAATAAAATCCAGGGAGCAACCTGGCACAAGTCCTTCCCATTTTACCACCTGTGTGCATCAGTTGGAACCTTAAAATGTAATAATCGGGACAGCTGGTAGAGTATACTAAATAAGAAAACAAATAGGGGGGCATAATAATTTACCTCCAGCCATCACTCATGTGTGGCAGGTGGGGGCTACTAATTAAACAGGGACTGGATTCATATTGTGGTGTATCACCAAACTCTATAAATTATTATGTACACATACACATATAAACTCTGGTCCGTCTACTTTAACAAATATTTATTCAGAGACAAAACAACAACAACATACAAATAATGACACACAATCTAACTAACTATACCACCAACAACAGCAACAACAACCTAACTAACAATAACAACTACATCTTATAAAATCCCACTCACAGTTCACCATGATGGAAATTAGGCCATGTCTGCTTAAAGGACTGCTCATTAGCACAGCCAAGAAGGAACAGAGAGGAATGGAGATAGGGGGAAGTGGTTATCTCTTTCCTGACTAGTAAAGGTATTGAATTACCAATTAACATTTCAAAAGGGTAAAGCTTATCCCACTGTAAGAGCTTGGTCACATGATCCCTGGTCACCATATTAGTTTGATGACAGAATGTCACCACACATATCATTGTCCAATTCCCCCCATGGTAATATCCCTCCCCCATCACTTCTGGTGGCAAGGGGTTTCAATTTATAATTTGCTTACTTCCTGCAAAAAGTATACTTGACATCAGACAGATTGTTTTTTTCTTACATTTTGTTTTCTTCATCCCCACAAAAATTAAAAAATTATAGCCTTAGGAATATAAACGTTTTCCTAACGCTGTAGTGTTCTAATGTCTATTTAGATGTTTAACCCCTTACGGACACAACTTCTGGAATAAAAGGGAATCATGACGGAACATTTCCGTCATGTGTCCTTAAGGGGTTAAGCCACTCAAAAGTAAAATCAATTTAGAAAAAAAATGTCACTCCTCTTATACGCTTTATCCTTTGAACTTTTAAACATTGTTTCTGTTTTTCCTTCTCATTTGTAATGTGTGCCCGGGTTGTGCCCTGATATAACTAGATTGTGATATCTTTTGATAAATTGTTAATATAATTTTACAATGAAACATATCACATGAGAAAAAAAGTTAACACCATTGATCAAGGATTTTCAATGTTTTATTCAATGCCGTAATTAACAGAGTGAGTGACAATCATGTTTAATTTGTACATTTTCTGTTAGAAACACTGGAAAACAAGAACTTGTCATGCATTCCCAATAGTATACATTGTAAAATAAACTATTATTTATGTATTGTCATTATTGCCTATTGCAAAATTAACTAGTATCAAAATAATGTTGTTAATTATTAAGATTAATTATTAATCTTCATATATTTATATATATATATGTATATATATATATATAAAAAAAATTTCTTTTAATTTTTTTTCTTTTCAGATCAGTTTTTCCCGTTATACAAATGTTGTAATATTTGGTGTGCCACAGATGGTAAGTTAAATGTTTCCTTTTATTGAATGCATTGTGTTATTTTAAACATTTTATTTCAGAAAATGATGACCATTTTATTGTAGATAAATTATAGAGAGTTAGTCCAGGAATTGTTATATGATCTGTTTTTATTCCATTAATGAAAATAATTATGAATAGGTTACTTTGTTGACAAAATCTGTTATTTTCTAATATGTAAATAGAACAGTAAATAATAAAACAGTATTCTAGTACTTCCTAATTCCTTCACTACTGAGTAATTCTCATTGAGAATATGTCTGCATGTAAAGGGGGGCATACTATCCATTAGTGGAGTAAAACGCTACTGAGTAGGGTAACTGATCAAGGTTCGGCAGCCTTTTACCAGGGCCTGCCTGCGTTGTATGTGATGCTGCACGCACTTGTGTTATTATGGTTGATCGAATTTGGTTCTTCATGCCGAATTTGCTGCCTAATTATGATGAAATCATGTTGCACTGTTGTGGTTCTTTGCAGCCCAAGAGCTGTATCTTTTTTCTAGTATCAGATATTTACTTTTTACTAATCTATGTACTCCTTTGCTCCTAGTTAGTTTACTCGTTTTTCTCACCGTATCTCTCCTTTACTTCAGCTATTCTCTTTGACACTATCCACTGTTTGTCCGGTTACTCTAAGTACCTGTCACGAACTCCGGAACTAAGCACGCTGACAGAACACAGACACAGGCAGTGCGGTACTGGTCCTTAGAGTGGCCGGGCTGTACACACAGAGAGAAGTCAGGATACAAGCCAAAGTCAGAGGGAACCCGAGAGACAGAGTAATCAATAAGCCAAGCAAAGGTCAGGGGTTAGAGAAAGCAGGATAAAGTGTAAGACAAGCCAAGATTCGATAACCAGAAAATCAGACAAATGGACAGAGTATACTCGCTATTAGGCTATCACAAGACCACAACTGGGCAAAGGGACATGGGAGAGGCAAGTTTATATATGCTTAGGGCAATTATGATTGGCTAATTTCCAATCAGAAATGATTACAACACATGTAAGGTATTTAATCTTTCCATTATGGGCTGTGACATCACTATTGTGCGCCGAGTCAGGAGGCTGACTCAGGCGCCTATTTAGTCATGCAGCCCGCAAGCGTGCAGCGCCAGAATCCCTGCCTGTGGGATTGGAAACGGCCGGGGAGGAGTCAGAGACCGTCGCTCGCCCTGGACGGCAAAGAGGAGTTGCAGTGAGCAGAAGTCGCCGCTCGCGGTGAGGCACAAAGAAAAGTCGCCGCAAGTGGCACGCGGGACCCGGAAGTCATCCGTGAGCAGAGGGGCCCTGACAGTACCAGTACATGGAAAGTCTATTTGCTGTTAATTACACTGAACAAAATTATAAACGCAACACTTGTTTTGAGCTGAACTCAAAGATCTAAGACTCTTTCTATGTACACAAAAGGCCTGTTTCTTTCAAATATTGTTCACAAATCTGTCTAAATCTGTGTTAGTGAGCACTTATCATACAACACAATGCCACAGATGTCGCAAGTTTTGAGGGAGCGTGTGTCACAGTTCTCACCGTGCCCTACAGCCAGCCAGACGTGGCAGCTCCACTTCAACATAAGCACACATACACTCTCACTGACAAACACATATACACACATAGTCGCTGACAAACACACATACACTCAAACTCACTGACAAATACACTCTCAGTGACAAGCACACATCCACACATACTGAGCGGCTGGCGTGTGGTCCCTGGGGTCTAGTGGGGCTGCTGGGCTGAGTGGCTGGCGTGCGGGCAGCGGGGGAGCAGTGATCATCCTGCTCAGCTCCCTTGCGTGCCACTTAGTGATGCCAGGGCCGGAGTGATGTCATATTCCGGCTCAGGTATCACTGCGGTGCGCACAAGGGAGCTGAGCCCGTCTCAATTATCAGCGGCGGCCATTTTGTTTCCCGAAATTGCGGTGGAACCCCATTTGTGTTCTCGCAGAACCCCAATTGGGAAACGCTGTAATAGACTACTGTCTCCACATAGACAATTTCCCAAGGGAGAGACATACTCCTAGGGAGAGACAAAAACGCATGTATATCAGTCCTGTTTTCAGTTTACCTTGCTCTGAACATTTTGCATTACCTCCTCCTGAATCCATGCAACTAACTGCGACTAAATTAACCAAGGCTGAGAAAAACTAAATCAGAAAAGAAGGCTTATGTCCATACTGTGGGCAGAGGGGGCATATGAGAAAATGTTTTTATTTTTGCAGTGCATATGGGTTTAACAAACATGCGTGTGGTACCCCAACGGCATTCCACTTGCTTATTCCAAGACATTGTAAAGTGGGGCAAACATTAACAGTGCACAATTTTGTAATTTGAAGATTGTGTTGTTTTTTAACAAGTTTAGGTTAGTCAATCAAGTACATTGGAGTGTTTCAAAATGTGTGTATGGAGAGGACGTGTATCAGGGTTATAGCGTGTGCTGAGCAGGCTAGGTACAAGCTGTGATGTGTTGTCGTGCTCGGCTGTCTCATAATGTAGCGTGGAGCATGCTAATTGGTATTCAGGTAAGTAACTCTGAGAGAGCTGCACTTGGCTTGTGTTTAGTAAACAGTGTGATTTCTTGACGTGATAAGCTTTTATGCCCTTTGTGATATTGCTTGGACTGAGCTATCTCCCTGGTCTAGTGTGTGTGTGGTGTAACTGTGTTGTTTATCATGATACCTGCGATGCAGGGTAGGAGACATGCATAAGCTCAGTGTCCACAAGTGTGTCCAGCAGCCCAGTGAATCCTGCGGTCTCTCTATTATGGCATGGAGGGGCCAGCATTATGACTATGTCCCGTTGCTGCGGGTTCACGAGGCCCCCATCAGAGTCTCTTTCACCTGATGCCCTCTTTATAGAAGCAGTGTACGTCCGGCGCTGGGTTTCTGCGTCCTGCCGCTGTGTGGGTGTCAATGAGGGTGTCCTTCCAGCCCCAGGCTGGCGTGCAGGCCTGCATCTTCTGGCCACAAACTCGGCTACTGCTAGGGCCCGGGTTTCCTCCACGTGTGGGAGTGATGGAGGAGCTGGTCTTTTTCTGTTGCTTGCGATGCTTGTTCCTCTGCCAGTGTGGACTATGCTTCTGGACTCTCTGCCCTTTGGCCTGCAGCCCGGGTGGGCTAGGTTGCGTGTGGGTGAGTAGCTGAGGCGACGTTGTGCCCAAGAATATTCCCCTCACTCCCCGCCATCTGCGGCCCCGCTCCCCCATTGTCAATGGTGCAGGTGAGGTGTCATACTTCGGCTGCGTATTGCCGCTCCATGAGTGTGTCCCAGAAGGGCTTCAGTATCGCCTTTAGACTCTGCAGAGGTTCCTTCCGTGGCGTTGGTGTCGGTTTCATGTTCGCCATGTGGGTCGCGTTGCCGGCCACCATTTTAGGTACTCCCCGTGAGGGCCTGCAGCTTTGCGTAGTGGGGTCAAGCCTGTGCTGCTGTCTGGGCTGATTGCTATAGGAGTCGAGTGTGGACCGGGATGACCCACGCCGGTCCGGGGGGGGGGGGAAGGAGGCAAGTGCACGGAGGCTTTACCATCCAGGAGAGCGGCGGTCTCTCCCTGGCTCGGTCGCAGATAGGCCCCATGTGCTTTGTTCCCGGGCAGTGTAAGTCTCAGGTTCATTCGATGCCCCCGGGTTTCCCCGACTCGTTGTGCGCACTCCGGCTCGCAAACGTGTCTGTTTTCGGGGTATATACCCCCAATTTAGTCGCTTTGTGCAGGAGCTGATTTACAGCATGTCTGACCTGCTTGGCAGTTAGGCTCCGCCCTCCAGCAGCTCATTTTTCGAACGCCACAATATTATGATTTAAGAGAGGTGTTTTAAAAGAAAGAGGCTGAAAATTTACCTCCACATCGTTCTTTTGACTGTGTGATACACTTGCTTTCTGATACAATGCTATCCACTTTCAGGAAAGGAGAACATTATTATGGAGGAAAATATTTGTGAGTCACTGCTTAAGGGTTACTTTAGAAAATCCTTGTCTCCAGCTGGAGTAGGATTCTTTTTTGTGTTGAAAAAAGAAGTGGATTTGAGCCCATGCATAGACAACAGGAGTTTAAACTGTATTACGGCCCGTAACGCCTATCCTAGTTCCCTTATGTGGCAAACCTAGCCACTTAAGATTGTATTCCTGTGATATTGTTGCCCTAAAGACTGCCTAAATCTGTAATTATTCTAGATTCTGTTTTGTATGCAATAGAGAGCATTCGTATGCTAGCGGCACAAAAGCCGCAAGCATTCATATGGTAGTTTCACGAACAGTGAATTTCAACACTGTTCGTGAAACAAATAAACTACCGACTGGGAGACCACACAAAGGGGGTCGTGTGTCTCCCATTAACAGTTGCAACTATGAATCTACAGTCAATGAATGCATTGTGCGGGTGGCCGCCGTTCGTGATACCACCTATGTGATCAGCCCATGCGCTGGAGCGGGCGGCAGACGCATGCTCCACGTAAATATTTTGTAGCCCTATTATGAACGAATAGAGGAGGTAACTGCTATTTGCACCTCTGCAGCGGAGGACTTTGATAATTTACCTCTCCCAGACCTCCTAGAGGAGGCAGACCAGAATGGGCGTCTGGGAGAAGTGCAGTTAGGTGAGCGCCTGAGTCCACAGGAACGGGCACAAGCTCAAGATCTAATCAAGGCCACCTTTTCTAATCTCCCCGGGTACACACCCTTAGCGATTCACAGGGTAGAAACCCCTGGGCAGATCCCGCTTCATCAACCGCATACCCAAATCGGTAAAAGAAAATATGCGTAAGGAGATTGAGGAAATGTTACAGTTAGGGGTGATAGAACACTCCAAGAGCCCCTGGGCCTCCCCAGTAGTGCTAGTGCCAAAGCGGGATGGAAAAACCCAGCAACTGTCACATAGGGATGGCAGAGGTCCAACATCTTGGCCACCGGGTAGGGTGCGGCCAACTAAAACCTGAACCAGCTAAGATAGAGTCTGTAGCCAAATGGCCAACCCATCATACAAAAACCCAAGTCTTAGCTTTCCTAGGTACCGCAGGGTACTATCGAACATTTGTACCCGATTACAGCAGCCTGGCCAAACCCCTCACAGACTTAACCCGCAAAAATCTCCCTAAGATAGTAGTATGGGCCCCAGAGT